TACTTCCGCTGAGGTCTAACAAATGTCTTGTACAAGTTCAACATCACCTCCTGGCTCTTGTACTCTATGCCCCTATTAATAAAACCGAGGGCACTGTCTGTTTATTAACTGCTCTCTCCCCCTGTCCTGCCACCTTCAGTGATTTGTGACATATACCCTCTGCTCCTGCATCATCTTTAGAATTATACCTGCAACTTTATATTGTCTTTCAATGTTCTTCTGATCAAAGTGCATCACCTCACACTTCTCTACACTGAACGTCATCTGCCCCCTCTCTGCCCACTCTCTGCCCACTCCACCAACGTGTCAATGTCCCTTTGGAGTTCCACACTGTCCCTCTCACAGTTTACAGTTCTTCCCAGTTTAGTGCCATCTGCAAACTTGGAAAATTGTCCCCTGCACAGCAAGATCCTGATCATTAACATCTATCAGGAAAAGCAGGGGTCCCCATACTGACCCCTGACCTCCACTAGAAACCCCCCCGTTCCAGCCTGAACAATATACATTGCCCATTGCTCTCTGTTTCCTGTCAATCAGCCTGTTTCGTATCCAAGTTAGCCCTGCCCCTTCTGTACCATGGCCGACAACTCCCCTCCAAGGCCTGACATGTGCCACTGTATTGAATATGTTGCATACCAATGTATAACACACTAACAGCATTACCCTCCTCAACCCTTTCTGTTCCCTTTCCTCGAAAAACTCCTGCTTTCCCGACCTTCCCTTCGGAAATCTATGCTCTGACTCTTCCTAACCAGCCCACCATGGCATCACTGATTCAACTCCAAACATCTGTATCCAAGTGTTACTCCAGTACTGCACTCGGAGTAACTGGTTTTTAATTACTGTGACTATCCTTCCACCCTTTCTTGAACAAGGCTGTAATGGTAACAATTCTCCAGTCTTCCACCCTGAGTCCAGGGAAAACTGAAATACTATGGCCAGTACCTCTACAGTCTCTACCCCCAGTTCCTTCAAAACCCTTGCGTGTTTCTCATCCGGTCCTGGTGCCTCGTTAACTTTAATAGCCAATAATCTATCCAGATGCAGAGTATTTATTTAATCCCTCAGTATAGCCCCTGCCTCTGTGTGCATATCACCTTCGTGGTCTCTGATTGCTTGTTTCCTCCTCTAACCTCTCTCTCTCTCTCACTGTTAATATAGAAGGCTTTGGGATTTCCTTTTATGTTAGTTGCCAGTCTTTTCTTGTAATTTCTCTTTGCTTCTCTCATTCGAGTTTTAACCCCCCCACCCCCCACCTCCACAAACTTCTGGTTTCCCCCTCTGGTTTCTAAGGGATACTGTGGTGATGGAGGTGGTCTCTCTCACTCTGCAAGCTCGAGGCATCGTTGGATGTACTCCATGCTGTGAGGGGTGTCCTTCAACAAGTTCCACACCATTCCCAGGTTTAGGTAGAGGCCCACTCGCATCTTGCTCAGCTCAAGTGCCGACAGTTTGTACACACTGCTCCCTGCGGAAGAAACCCAATCTCTTCAGTAAGCTCAGAGCGTTTAAACAGTGACGCCCTCTCAGAGGGTCACAGTAACCACTCAACTGCATCCACTTACATTTCTATAGCACCCTCAACACAAGCACGGGTCACACCAAAGCCAAGTGAAAGGGGGAAGGGAGAGGAGAGGTAATGAACAGCTTGTTTATCACAAGGTGTTAATGACTGTGTTGGAGGAGGGAGGCGAGGGAGAGACAGTAGGACCTGCAGGGAGGGAATTCCAGAGCACAGGGAGGGAATTCCAGAGCACAGGGCCCAAGGTGACCATCAATGGCAACGGAAATCCAGGAAAGGTCAAGAAGAGGGGATCGTAGAATCCTTCCGGCACAGAGGGAGACCCTTCGACTCATCAGCCTCTGCTGTATTTCTGCAGGAACTGGGAATACTGCAGGGAGTTACACAGATAGTGAGGGATGCAGGGAGCTGGAGGAGGTGACAGAGATAGGGAGGGGGTGTAGGGGGCTGGAGGAGGTGGCAGAGATAGGAAGGGGGTGTAGGGGGCTACAGAGGTAGGGAGGGGGTGTAGGGGGCTGGAGGAGGTTACAGAGATAGGGAGGGGG